GGGCCCGGGGCCCCGCCGCCCCCCGCCGCCTTGGGCAGGAAGCAGTGCACGAAGTGGAGCTTGGACTTCTTGATGCTATCAATGAGGGCGTCCTGCAGGCAGGGGAGAGCAGGGTGAGAGGTGACAGGCAGTGGTGCCCCAGCTGGACACAGGGACCCCTCCCTTGGCCACCCCCTCACTCACCACTTGCAGCTTGATCTGGATGCAGAGGGATTTCTTCTTGACGGCAGCCATGCCAGTGGTGAAGGTCTTGCGCATGCTGGTGGCCCGGCGCAGGGCCAACTGGGAGCCCCCCTCCAGCCCTGCCACCGAGCCCGACAGCACCAGCGCTGACCCGCCACGGCCAGCAAACAGGCTGCTGATGACCTTCCTGCAGGGCACAGAGGGGACGTCAGCCCCCAGAATCACCTCTCCCCCACGCTGTGTCCCCATCCTGCCCCAGGACCCCACTCACTTCTGGGACTCCTGCAGCAGGACAGAGGCGTTTTGGGAGGCTGGGTTGTGCTTGACGTAGTTGAGCCAGCCTGTGGCATCGTACTCCACCCAGTTGGTCCCTGAGCTGTGACCCAGGAGGAAGTGTCGGGGTTTGTCACTGGGGAGCACCGGGTTGTGCCCTGCAAGGAAACATGGCACTGATGCGCACAGGACTGGCACTTTGCTGACACATTGCCCCGTGGTGCTGGGCCCCCTCCTGACCTTTTTTCCCCCCTTCCTGGGGGCCATAGTAGGAGAAGAGCCGCTCCAGCAAGGTGTCCTCGTTGCCGCCCGGCTGCAGCGCCTCCTCCTCCAGCAGCCACAGCAGCCCCCGCGCCTCGTCCGTGCGGGCCAGTGACCGGACCTGCAGGTGACACCTCACTTCCACCTGGCCTGGGACATTGGTGTTCCCCAGGGCAAGAATGGGGGAGCAAGGGACCTGGACCACCCAGGAAGCACGCAACTCAGCCGTTGCCAGCAGCAAGGCAGAGTGGCACCCTGGGAGAGGGTCCTGCTTAATGGAGACCTGGGCAGGCAGGAGCCCGTATGTCACACTCCTGGCAGCAAGATTCTTGCTGCGGTGCAAAACACCACGCTCAGGCACCCATAGGATGAAACACAGCACAGGGATGGTGCTATCAGCCCCCCTCACTCTCTGCAGCCTCCCCCAGCAGGGACAGAAGTACCCCAGGGACTGGTGCATCTTGAGGACCCATGCATTCTAGGAACATGAGTACCCTGGGGACCGGAGCACCTTGAGGATTGGAGCACCCCAAGGACTGGAGCATCCTGGGGATGGCTCAAGGGCTCCTCATCCTCCTGCCCATGGCACTGGCAGCTCCCAGGACAGCACAGGGCTCCATGCCAGGGGATGCCCCAGGGATGCAGGCTGCACTGACACTTGGAGGCACTCTCTCATGGCCAAGCACTCAGGACAGCCCCTCTCCTTCCCCTAATTACCACCAATGGGCCAGGAAAGCCACCAGCTGCTGCCTCATGCTACAAACTGCCATATTGTGGCTGTGAGGGAGCAGGGTGGGTGCTCACCAGTGCCTGGTGTGAGGACTGGTCTACAGCAGCTACAGAGCCAGAGGAGCTGGGCTCAGCGTCAGCCAGGGCAAGCTCTATGTTCTCCTGGAGAGAGAGGACAGAGGTGTGGTTAGTGTGCCTGTGTGGTGGGATTGGCAGCTGGTCAGGGTGTTGGTCTCAAAGGGGTCTCGGCAGGAGGCTGGGCTTTACCAGCATGGTTAAGGGGTGATGCTGGGTGGCAAGGGGGGGCACCAGGACACATGGAGTAATCCCCTTAGGTGATTTTCCCCCTGCCATCACCCACAGCCATCCCACTACCTCCCACCCTGGCAGGTGGTGGAGCAGCCAGCAAAGGTGTGGGTGTCAGTGGGAGCCCTGGGAAAACCCCGGCTGCCCAGAGCATCGTGTCAGAGCTTCTTTGGGTGGACCAGCCCAGAGTGACCACAGGGTTGTGGGCATCAGGGGGAATGGCAGAGATGGTGGGGAGGGGAGGGCAACAGGGAGGGGCTGAGGGCAGCCCTGGGTGTCCCATTACCTCCTTGTAGCGCTCCAGCTCGCGGGCAAAGGTGCGCTGGTGGAAGAGGAGCTGCAGGCGCTCCTGGGCATAGTTGTGGCAGAGCTCCTCGAAGGTGGCCCCCCGGCTCTGCCCTGCCAGCTCAGGGTTTTGTGTCCCAGGGGTGTCCACCACTGTCACTGAGCACACCGAGTGCTGGCTCGACTTCAGTGCCCTGTAGGGTACAAAGGGACACAGTAGGGTGACCGAATGCCGCTGGGTGACCCCTGGTTCTCTCTCCGGTGCCCCCCGCTGCACGTACCTGTTGAGGAGGGAGATGAGGAGGGTGAAGAGCTCAGAGTACAAGCCAGATGCCATGCCCTCCAGGCACTCCAGTGCTGTCAGCTTGGGACCTGGCCAAGGCAACCCTGAGTGTTCCCAGCCTAGCATTCCCTGGGGCCACCCACTGCCCCCACCATCCCTCATCCTACCTGTGCCACCATCACCTAGGGGGGACTCATCGGGGCCCTGCCGGAATGACGTGGATCTCTGCAGGGTGCCCTTGGGCTGATGCTTGAAGATGGAGGAGGAGAGCTCTTCCAGACTGCAGCCCAGCAGGTAAGCAGCTTTCTGAGCCCACTCATGCCGGGCAAACTGCTTCCTCCCAGCTGAAGGGTAGAGAAGGGAGCTCAGGGACAGCTAGGGTATCCCCAAAATGGAGTGTCCCCAGCCAGACCTAGAATGGTCTCAGTGTCCCCTAGAATAGGCTGGGGATGCTGTGCACAGCAGGAGCACGTGGCCAGTGCCAGAGAGCCAAGGAGTGTGTTTTGGGGGCTGATGAGAGGAGACAGGGGGTGAACGTCTTGGGCCCTCTGCAGGACTGTGGAGCAGGGAGTGGGGGTCACCCCTTGCCACTGCTGCTTGGGGACACCCAGGGCTCTGAGACACTGCAGGGCATTGAGCCACCCCAGCACGGGGACACATCCCTGTTCAGCCACACACACTGAGCAGCAGGACAGGCTGCTGCTGCCAGACACAAGCACACAGATACCAAGGGAGGGCAGGGAGGTGGGAGCAGGTTAATGGTGACAGGCAGGGGCGGGACACCAGGAAGGAGGTGGCATGTGGGAGGGGGAAGCCAGAGACACGGGTGGAGAACAAGACTTTACCTTCATCGGCGTCTGCATTGCACAAGGGCAGCATGCACCATGCAAACAGAGACAGGGGTTAGAAACAACAGCACAGGCAGCACAGGGACACCCTCCTGCCCAAACACACCACGCACCGGCACTGCCGCACCACGCACAGTACCAAGCCCGGCCTCCCCCTGGGCACTGCCACCGTGAGACCCTGAACCCAGCCTGCGGGCACTTCCCCTGCCAACCCCAGCTGCACCGTGGGCACTGGTGGGGAGCAGCTCAGCTCTGCCACGGAGTGCAGGGAGCTGCTCTTGGATCAAGCCTGGTACAAGCATCAGGGAGCTAAGGAAACAAGGACTGGCACGGCTGAGCTGGCTCTCAGCATTCTCATTGCCCAGGAGATGCAGGGAAGGATCCAGGAGCAGCACAGAGCTGGAATGCTCACCCCCGGTGCGGGATCTGGGCTTTCTCCCTCCCCGGCAAGCCCCTACAAAGGGGCTCCAGCTGCCCAAGCCTCCCTCCGCGGTGGCTGGAGCAGGGCCCTGCTGCCCTCTAGTGCCTTGGAGCACCCCACGGGCCAGCACTGCACCCCGCTGCAACCTGAGACCCTGTCGGTCTCTCCCTCCCTATCCCCGACACATCTTTTCCCCCAGGGCTGCAAAAATCCCTTGGAGCAGCTGCCAGCTCTAGGTGCCTATTTTGGCTGTGCCGTGCCCAGCCCAGCGAGCAGCACCACGGGGGCTTCCAGCACCACAGGGAAAAGCGCCGGAGGGAGAAAGAAGAGCAGCCCCATGAAGCCAGATTGACCATCCCCAGGTGCCCTGCAGCCCATGGTGAGCCCTGTGTGCCAGAGCAGCCCTGTCCCACACCACTGAAGGTGCCAAGAGGAAGCGTGAGGCCCTGACAGGCAAATTTGAGGCTGCCAAGACCCAGCTGAGGGTCAGGGCTGGTCCCAGCACAACAGAGCATCACAAGCCCCCATTTCAGCCCCAAACCCAGCAGCACCCAGAGCAGAGCCCCCTGTGGCTCCAATTACCGACTCCATCTGCTGGTGGTTCTGCAGGGAGGACGGAGGGGGAGAGGTGTTATGTGGGTGACACACAGTAACTACCGCAGTTCCTCAGCCCCAGACAGACCCCATGGCTCCCCAAGGCAGCAGGGGCCAGCCCAAGGTCTGGGGGTTGTATGATTAACCACCCTGACCAACAGGGGCAAAACCAACTGTCACAGAGCACCCCAGATGGCAGGACATTGTCCCTCAACAGACACAGCCCCAAAACACCCCCCGGGGCTCAGCCACACTGGGGGGTGCCATTTGCAAGGTGCTGAGGTGCCAGTAATCCCTCCAGGATCTCATGCAGTCACTAGCCCTGAGCCGTGGCTCACTAATGCCTCCCAGCCCTGAGCAGCTTGTTACCTTTGGTGGCCCCAGCGGCCCCCAGATGATAAATGGCTCCCAGGACGAGCCAGAAGGCTTTCTGCTCATCACTGGAGATGCCCATCACCTTCATGGCAGCCTGGAGCTTGTTGAACTGCTGGGTTGCCTTCTGCTTGTCCTCTGGCTGTGGGGAGTAACAGAAGCCATTGGTGTGGGAGCCCAGCTCTGACTCACCCTGCACCCAAATGGGCCAGGGGCCCCTGCACCCCCCCAGCTCCCTACCCAATCCCATAGCAGTGACCTTGGAAAGGGGTGCTATGCCAAAGACGTTGTTCTCTGCCAGGTGGTTGAAGTGAAGCTCAGTCCTGCAGGGATAAACACCAGGATTGGTGCCATGTGGGAGACCCCAGAGACTCCCCAGGCAGGGGCCTGCACCCTCACCCTACCCTGCTCACCTCAGGGCACTGTCAGAGCAGGCCAGAAGATAGTAGAAGACGTTGAAGGTGGCCTCACCAGCCGGGCGCCTGGCCACACGCAGCTTCTCCAGCAGCAGCGTCTGGCAGAGGTGGGAGCATCAGGAACCATCCTGGAGGGTCCTGCTTCCACCAAGAACCCCTGCCCCACCCCAGCCTGATTCTTGCCACCTGCCCAGGGTTCCCATGGAGATGTGAGGACCTCCTGCCTACCACAGCGCATAGTATGAATGCAATCATCATTGAAGCAACATGTGAGCATCTCCTCTCCTGAGATGTCTGCTACCATAGGAGCACAAAGCGGCTCTGTGGAAATTTAAGGGCTCTGCTGTTATCATGTCAGGGCAGTATCTGAGAGAAAGACACCCCGACATTGGGGCTAACTCAGCAAGGACAGGGAGTCGATCGGATCTGGGCACAGCTGGGTGCCAACAAAGATGAGAGAGGGATGCCTGGCTGCTGAGCACTGCGAGCACAGCCGGGCAGCTGGAGGGTCTGCTGCAGAGATCACGGGCTTGCGTGCAGCCAGAAAGAAATGCCCCAGTGGGAAGGGACCAGCTCCCACGCCGAGGAGGGCCACCCCGGCCCCCTCACCTGTATGGAGGCAGATGCCACCTGCCCAGCCTGGTCGAAGTCCAGAGAGATGATCTGGGAAAAGCGTGTGGCGTTGCTGTTCATGCCGGTGCTGCTATTGCCAAAAGCCTCCAGGATGGTGTAGAGAGCCTGCCACTTGTCAGCTGCGGGAAGAGGAGCGGGGCAGTGGGGTGCAGGGGCGGTGCTGCAGGCGGCCAGTGCCAGCCACGGCT